TCCCCCTGGGTTGTCTGGCCAGCCTGGGGGAGGGGCTGATGGCTGTTTGCAGGCTGGCCACAGCCCCTTCAGGGTTGGGGTCCCCACTGGGTGAGGGGCTGATGGCTGTTTGCAGGCTGGCCACAACCCCTTCAGGGCAGGGGTCCCCACTGGGGTGTCTGGCCAGCCTGGGTGAGGGGCTGATGGCTGTTTGCAGGCTGGCCAAGCCCCCCAGTGAGGACCCTTACCCCATGAGGGTGTGGCCATCCTGGGTGAGGGGCTGATGGCTGTTTGCAGGCTGGCCACAGCTGCCAGCCTCCCAAGCTCTCAGTGGAGGCTGGCTGGAAGCAGGTATCTGGGATTTATTTAGCTTCTATAATTGAAACTTTGTTGCCTTTTGCAGAGGCCACAGCCGGCAAGGGCAGGCGGGAAGCTTGGCTTCCTCCATCGCCAGGGCAACCAAGCCTCCTGCTTGCTCCAGCTCCATGGCTGCCGTCAGCCATCTTGGTTGGGTTAATTTGCATATAGTCGCTCTGATTGGCTGGTGGGCGTGGCTTGGGCATAGCGAAGGTATGGTCAATTAGCATCTTTGTCTTTTATTAGTGTAGATTCCCAACACCTACAGAAATTCACCAGCAAGGCGAGCACTATATTCTTTGAACAAAACTGCCCTTCCATCTAAAACTTGCCTACACTAAAATGAAAATATCCTTTGTGTCTAAAATAATCAAATATGCCTGGCCAGTGTTGCTCAATGGTTGAGTGTCGACCAATGAACCAAGAGTTCACTGGTTCAATTCCCCGTCAGGGCACATGCCTGGGTTTCAGGCTCAATCCCCAGTAAGGGGTGTGTGGGAGGCAACCAATCGATGTCTCTCTCTCATCGATGTTTCTATTTCTCTCTCCCTTCCTCTCCCTCTAAAATCAATAAAAATATATATATATTTTAAAATAAATAAACAAATCTTATGACAACATTAAAATGAAATTTGGTAGTGGTGTTGGAGGAAGCTGCTACCCACATAAAACACAAGTAACATCTATGATTAAAGGTGAAAACTGTCTAGTCATTAGATGTTTTACTCAAAGCACTGTTGACATGTTGTTTTTTTCAAAGTAAAAGATGTGGAAAATTTTTTCCTTATAACTCTTACACTATGATAACAACCTGTTTCTAGTTTAAATCTTTTCTTAAGCATACACAAAAAGCAAAATATGCACAAAATAGATACATACTTAGGATTTCTTCACACTCAAGAGTCTAATGGTGAGTCACTTTTCACCTCAGTTCGCAAAAGTAGTGTTTTTCCACATGGCATCACACTCCGGAGCATGTGGAGTGACATTTTCTTTGCCCTACACAGGAATTCACCAAGCCAGAGGCCCCTGCCCACTACTCATGTCACATCCATAAGGTAGGCGGGAGGCCCAGTGCCACACCTATTGCCAACCCTCTGAGAAGTCCCAAAGCAACCACAAAGATGAGCAAAGCAGTCACATGGAAAGAGGCAGCCTGGAGAAAGCACAGACCATGCATGGAGAAGAAAACTTATAAAAAGTTAAACCTATCATTAATATTCTCAGTGAACTAAGAGGAGAAAGCATAGCCAAGGACAAAATGCTATGAAAAAAAAGTCACAGAAAAAGTGTTCTTTGAAATTAAAAATAGAATAGCAAAAGTGAAAAATTCAATTGAAAACATGGAAGGTAATATAATCTTCCATAAAGTAGGTAAAACAAACAAATAAATAAATGGGAAAGAAAATAGAGGGGGATGGAACCAAAGGACCAGTCTTGAGGCCCAACATGCAGATAACAGTAACTCCAAACAAGAACACAGAGAAAAATGGAACAAAAGGAAATCAAAAGGAATGATTCAAGAACAGGTCCCCAAATGGATGGATGTTTTTAGACTGAAGGGAACACTAACCTCAGTATATGATGACCACAGACCTACACCCAAACAAGTCTCTGAGAAAAATGTACAAATACTTGGACTAAGAAAATCCTGAAAACTGCTGGAGACTGTAAAACAGGTCATCGTGCAGGATCAAGGAACCACAACAGAGTCCTGATTCCCAACAGCAACACCGCAAGATAGTCAATAAGCAGTGCTTTCAAAGTCCTGAGGAAAAATATTCAACTTAAAATGGTCTTCTCAATGTCAGAGTGAACAGACAGAGGCACTTCCAAAGAGACATGAAAAGTCTCCCAAGTACCCTTTCTAAGAAGCAAGAAGAGTAACTACTAAATGAATACTAACTTAAGACAAAAGATGACCTAAGACCCAAGAGCAGGGGACCAGAGCTGGGGGGAGGAAGGAGCCCCTAGGTAATGATGAAGGGGGATTATGATGAGAGCTGTGTACAGGGCCGAAGACCTGGAGTCCAGGCAGAGCATAACCACAGCTCCAAAGATGAAACTGGGATACTGGACACTTCTTAACGAGGGGAATTTCAGACACCCAGGGAAAACCTTAGGGGTGAAGTCCCTGAGCAAAATAACAAGCAAAAAGAGACACTTAAGTCCAGGGAAAACACAATGTAGGAATGGAAAAGTACTACCATATGGCTCCAGTCAACAACCTTCATAGTCACACTAATTACCATTCAACCACTGAGACATAAGAAACAGTTCCCTGCAACTCCTGGCAATGTATGAGGGATTACTGGAATCTAAACTCTGCACATATATGTGCATGTGTACTAGTATCTTACTAATAAAAGGGTAATATGCTAATTAGACCAGATGTCTTCTGGATGTCCATCTGGACAAAGCCACAGCGGCTGCGAGGGCCGAGGGCCAGCAGCACGGAAGAGGCACCGCCGCTGCAGCGGGAGCAGGAACGGAGGCGGTGGTGCCGTCGCCACCACCCCTTTTGCAGAGGCGGCGGGGGAGAGGCCGCAGCACAGGCCGGTCCAATGACGGGGCCCCTTCCGCAGAGGCAGCGGGAGAGGGGGCTGTGTGGTCTGGGTCCCAGTGCTGTCCCTTCCGCAGAGGCAGCCGCAGAGGCAGCGGTGGACCCAGTACTGGCGCCATGCCTTCGCAGAGGCTGGATGGGGTGCGACCTGCTGTGCCTCAACCTCCCACAGCCCCTCCTCCAGTCAGCCTGGCCCCAGATCGTCCCCCACCCACCAGTGGGTGCGGGGTAGGGACAGCACTAAGAAGCGAGGGCCAGCCACCGCAGCGGCCGGCAGTGGCAGCAGCAGCGGGGTGATGGGGGCAGCGCCCTTCCATCCGGTCACCTCCCACAGAGGGAGGCCAGACTAAGCCGTCAGTAGGACATCCCCTGAGGGCTCCTGGACTGTGAGAGGGGGCAAGCCGGGCTGAGGAATGCGCCCCCCACCCCCCCAGTGCACAAATTTTCATACACCGGGCCTCCAGTATATGATAAAAACAAAAACTAAATAAAAAAAAAGAGTTGACAAGATTCATCCTTTGCTAACAGTGATAAAATATTCAGAGCAGTTAAGACTGTTTTGAGATGACAAATTAAATTTTCGCCCTGACCGGTGTGTTCAGTGGTTAGAGCATGGGCTCATACACCAGAGGGTTGTGGGTTCGATTCCTTATTGCAGGTTGGATCCCTGGCCCCAGTTGGAGTTCAGGAGGCAACCAATCGATATGTCTCTCTCACATGGATGTTTCTCCCTCCTCCCTTCCACTCCCTCTAAAAATCAATGGAAAAAATATTCTTGGGTTATTTTTAAATAATTAAATTTTAAAGAAAAGATACAGCAATAAAATAATGTCTAGGCTCTTAAGGAAGAATGGCATAAAAATGTTTTCTTTTTATTCAAAGTATTCTATAGTTTTTAAAAAAAGAATAGTGTATTGATTTTAGAGAGGAAGGGAGAGGGAGAGAGAGAATAATCTATGTGAGGGTGCAACATCAATCTGTTGCCTCCTGCATGCCCCCTACTGGGGAATTGAACCAGAATCCTGGGCATGTGCCCTTGACCAGAATCAAACTGGCGACCTCCTGGTGCACAGGATGACACCCAACCAACTGAGCCACACGGGCCAGGGCTCTATAGTTCTTTTTAAGTCAATAAAGCTCTACAATCTAATAGGTGTTTCAAGGGTTTGTGTAGTCTTTTGATGTTTTTTCCTCCCTTTCCTTCATGTGTAATAACTAAAAAAACTTTTTTTAGTTTTAGTTATTCCAATTCCTCAAAATGAATTTGAAAAAGCTGGTAAAATTTGGGCATTTCACATGTACAAAGTTAAATACTAATTTTATTCTCACTTGCTTCCTGTATACTGACTTGGTTTCCTCGTAACCAGCAATTACAATTTCAGCAAAAACAAAACCATCCATCTACATGGAAAAGAAGAGGAAACTCAAACTCCTGTTTGTAGTAGATTTGTGTATCTTGAAACCATCTTGATCCGGGATTATGTCTTCCTATAAAAAAGTAATCTTTAATTTGTATCCTGGAAAACAATGATACATAAAAATCAAAACTAGAGATAAACAAGGCTGAGAAAATTGGTGGGGCAGAGAATCATTGATTTCTCCCTGAATAAGTGAAGGCTTTCAGGAAAAAAATATTTCATTGAGTCTTTCTATACTATTAGCAACAGACTGTTGAATCCCATTGAGGTATGGCAGACACTCTTAATAAGGTTTTTTTTTAATTGTTCTGATCACAGTATAATAGCTATTTATTTCCATATACAAAGGATAACCTATGTAAAGGACTATTTAATCTTCATTAGTTAGTGTTCTGTGGACAAAAGAAAAGGTTTAATCTTAGGCATCTATTTTTTTAAGTTTTATTAACTTATAACTGACAATGAACTGCACTTATTTATTTTATTTTTTAATAATCATATTTTATTTTTATTTTTGTTAATCCTCACCTGAGGATATTTTTTCCATTGATTTTTCAGAAAGAGTTGACAGGAGGGGAAGAGACAGAGAGAAACATGGATGTGAAAGAGAGACATTGATTGGTTGCCTCTTGCACGTGCTCCAACAGGGGCTGGGATAGAGCCTGCAAATGAGGTACGTGACTTTGACTGGAATCAAACTCAAAACCCTTCAGTTCTCGGGCTGATGCTCTAACCAATGAGCAAACTGACTAGAGCAGAACTTCATATATTTAAAGGGCACAATCTGATGCTCTGACATATGTATATACCCATAATGAAACCATCACTCCAATCAATATAATGTACATATCCTTCGTCCCCAAAAGTTTCCTACTGCCCCTTCCTAGGAAGCCAGTGACCTGCTTTCTGTCACTGTAGCTTGCATTTTCTAGAATGCTATGTAAATGGACTCTTTTTTTGGTTGCGGGGGAGGTCTGCTTTCTTTCATACAGCATAACTGAGTTTCATACCAATTGCTGAGTGCATCAAGAGTTTACTCTTTTTGAGTAGTGCTCCACTGTCTGAATATAATAGTTTATCCATTCTCTTGTGGAGAGATATGTGGGGTGTTATAACTAAGGCTGCTATGAATATTCATATACAAATCTCTGTATGAACATATGCTTTCATTTCCTTTGGATAGGTACTTAGGAATGGAACTGATGGGTCATATTTTAGGAATATGTTTAACTTTTAAAAAACTGCCAATTTATTTTCCAAAGTACTCACACCATTTTACATTTCCATCTGCAGCGTAGTAGACTGCCAGTTCTTCCACAAACCTGCCAGCACTTGGTATGGTCAGTCTTTTTACTTTTAGACATTCTAATACTCATCTAGTATCTTGCTGCGTTGTTTTTTTTAAATATTTTTTATTGATTTTTAGAGAGAGAAGAAAGGAGAGGGATAGAGAGATAGAAACATCGATGAGAGAGAAACATCACTGATCAGCTGCTTCCTGCATACCCCCTATTGGGAATCAGCCCACAACTAGGGCAAGTGCCCTGATTGGAAATCAAACCGATGATCTCTTGGTTCCTGGGTCCACGCTCAATCATTCAACTGCTGAGCCACATTGCCCGGGCTACCTTGCTGTGGTTTTAATTGGTATTTTCCTAACTACTAATGATGCTGAACATCTGCTCATGTATGCTCTTTGCCATCCATACATCTTCCTTGGTGAAGTGTATGTTCAAATCTTTGGCTCATGTTTTATTGGACTGTTTTATTATTGAGCTTGAGAGTTCTTTACGTATTCTGAATACAAATTATTTATCAGATATGTAATTTGCAACTATTTTCTCCTAGTCTGTGCCTTCCTTGTCTTTTCATTTTCTTAGCAGTGCCTTTTGAAGAGCAAGTTTTAAATTTTGATGAAGTCTAATATATTTATTTTGTCTTTTATGGATATTTTTGACATTATATCCCAAAAAACCTTTGCCTCATTTAAGTCACAATGCTTTCTCCTATGCTTTTTTCTCAGATTTTTGTAGTTTTAGGTTCTACATTTAGGTCTGTAATAAAATTTAAGTTAATTTCTGTATAAGAGGTGAGATTTGAGCAAGGTTCATTTTTTTGTGTATGGAATATCTGTTCCAGAACCATTTGTTGAAAAAAATCCTTTCTTCATTGAACTGCCTTTGAATCTTTGTCAAAAATCAATGGACCACTTCCATCTGAGGCTAATTCTGAACTCTGTTCTGTTCTGATCAATGCCTCTACCCTTGCAGCAACGCCAGTGTCAGGATTCCTGTGGTGTAACAGTAACTCTTAAAACAAGGTACTGTGAGTCTCCCAACTTTTTTCTTTTCCAAATCATTTTGAGTATTCTACAGTTCTTCCCATATAAATTTTAGAATCAACTTGATTTGTAAAACAGAAAAAACTCTATTGGGACTTAATTTTTTTTTTTTGGGGGGGGGTCATTAAAATGGGAAAAAGTTTGAAGATACGTTGTTGTCTTCTCGCCCTGCAGCCCACCAGTTCTCCCTCTCTATAGAGCTATATAGGATCGGATGACAGCTAGCTAGAGTGACCGCAGTGAAAAAGAACCGTAAGGTGGTTGCACTTTTCTTACACGTGAATAATACGTATCTGTATCCTACAAACAGTCGCTTATTAAAGAGTAGAGGACAACTCACCAGCACACAAGCACGCAGTTTAAGCTGCACAAATTAATGGTGTGTTTTGTAAATAAGATTAATTTTTTTTAAAATGTTGATTATATCTTCCCTTTGTACCTTGAATACCATCCAACAAATGCACTCTGGACTGTAAATTCCTTTGGGCACAAGTTCCCACCTCAAAAGAATAGCTAGTTGGACTACTGGTAGGATTTTCACTTTCCTAAACACAAGAATACTTTTACCAGTTATCACATGAGGAAAAGTCAGCTTCTCAGACACTTCAGCTTGACCATTGGGGTAAAACCATCTAACCCTGTGTGACAGTCATCAGGGTCAACTCCAAGCAATAGTTCCTAGTCTAGTGCAGCAAGCTCAGAGCTGTGACTGGCCTGAAGGCCAGTGCTCCAGGCTCCTTGTGGAGTTGTGCAGCTTGCTTTCAGAGGACTCAGACATGGGTCCCCATCCCCACCAGGCTGCTACTGCCTCCTTCTCCTGCTTATAATCCCTCCTCCTCCGAGAGGTCGTGAGAGGCCACGTGTCTATTCTGCCAAAGTTCATTTCTTTAGTGAGTAGCAGCAGGCAGCTGTGTTGTATAGGATTTCTGCATCTCACGCTGCACAAGCCCAATTCCCTGCCACAAGTAACAGGACTGAAGACAGGGGCAACTCAAAGCCCAGATGACCAATGGCCTGTGAGTGGGGCCAACAATCCCAGATCCACCCTATGCTCAGTAGGCCCTATGGAGGCAAATAATAATTGCCAACAGCCCCTCAGGAAACACTAACATTAAAAGGCAGCAAGTGGAGGGAGGAGACAGCGTGTCCAGGGTCTGGGGACTTGCTGGGCTCCTGATGTCTACTGGCCTGAATGATGCTGGAATTCCAAGGTTTACTGGCTCCCGAGTTTGGGTGCTAGTCGTAAGCTTTAGCAATCTCCAAAACCTAATGTCTTTTCCATACATTTTGAAAAGACATCGTTAGCTTAACAACTGATTCTCACAATGCAGTACCTCCCAAAACAAATGAAATTTTATCCTTTTAGTGGAAAAAGTAAAGTATTTTCAGGCAGCTATACTCTTTGAAAAACTAGTAAACTGCACGTAGTATACATACTAAATACTACACAGAAGCTTTTATTCCTGAGAACATTCTCCAATAATGCAGGAAGCAGATTTTCGTTATCAATCAGTATTCAGGCACATGGTCAAAGGAGAACCTCACACAACATGCTGGGCGAGTAACAGAACCTCAGGGACATGGCCACCCAAATTCATTACCCAGCCTCTTCAATAGCTAAGTGGGACCAAGAAACTAAGTTCGGGTCAACAAAACGTAAGAAGTGTCTAGCACGGCCTTGGAGGGTCTCTAATCATAATATACAGTATGTCTCAATTTTCACAATTCTCCACGTTAGCCAACTTAGGTAAGCAACTACCAGCAGCTGAGCATGTCAGTGTAGAAAGCATTCACCATATAGACCAAGAAGCCCTTGTCATCTAGTGGGTAGAGAAGAAGAGCTTTTGTTTGCAGGCTTTTACTATATCCAGGTCTTGTGCTGAGTGCTTTGAAGGGGCTGTCTCATTTCATTCTCCCCCAAACTCTTCCTCCTTTACTGAATGGAGGTATTAGGGCACAGAAGTTCAGCATTGGCCTCAGTCCCGTGGCTGACAGGGATAGAACTGAACTGTTAACTCCAGGCTGTTCCAGAGCTCCAGCCCCTCCCCCTCATGGAGGCCACTGAGGTCAGGGAGTGATGCCCCCTAGGCTGAAGCCCAACAAGCCCAGTCCTGGAGATGGCCCACCCATAGGCCGAGTCCCAGCTTTCTAATTCCCACAGCACTAGCAGTGTTTTGCAAAATGGCCTATTTTTTATTTAGATAAATAAAAGTATCAATTCATGGTAAATGTTCCCTCCTATCCCTTAGAGGAGAAAAGGGGAAAAAAACTTAGCATCTTACCTCAAAGGAACATTCAACATTTCTTTCATTTTTTTTGTGTGATAATCCCTTCAGGTCTATCTTTTCAACACTCACTGTAAAAGTAAAAAAAAACACACACACAAAAACAACAAACAACAAACAAAATTATAAAAATGAAATAAAACCCTGAAATACATATTACTTTAGCATTTAATATTTTAGCAATTTTCAAAATAAGGCTTTCAATGCCCAATGCTGCTCAGTATCTTCTGCGGTGTGTTCACCTGGAATGAGAAACTTAAGAGGAAGCAAAAAGCTGTCACACTCAGGAATGGAAGGTGAATTTAAAAGTAAAGCAAGAAAAACAGGCAAAAAAATAAATACAAATCATAGAAAAGGAGAACAGTGTCTGAAAAGAGAACATAAGTTTATTTGAATGCACACAAGTATGAACTAATTTTAACTGAAGATTAGTTATGATCTGTTCCAATTTCTGAAAAACTAATGCTCAACGTTTTCCACTATTACTGTTTTAGACACAGCTGCCCAGAGCCTCTCATTGGATCTTCTTGTCTCATCCTTCTTTGACAGGGCAAGGCTGGAGGTGAAAAGGGCAGCAGTTATAGGAGAAACAGTGAAGATTCCTAATGCTGCCTCTAAAGAATATTGAGGATTGTCAGAGACTGGCTGCACAGACAGACAATGACAAAAAAAGACAAACCACCATTAGAGAGTTCTAAAGGCACCAGCCTCTTCATGACACCCTTTTCACACACACGGGTGCATTTTTTTATCCTCAAGAATAAAATGATACATTAGAACACCTTCTTCCATTACTTTTACTCTTTCTGGAGGACATATGGCAGTGTTCTATGAGGATTTCTACAGACCTTTCAACCCAATGGTCCAATACTCAACGTAATTGTTACAATTCCTACAGATGCCCATGCTCCTGGCCTGCCACACCAATGTTTCCCAAAGTCTTCCTCAAGGAACACCAGTCCTGTGAGATGTTCAGAGCCACCCCTGAAAACCTTCATGGTCAAAAAATTTGGAGGAAAAATCTGCAAAATTCCTCGTAGACTGTCCATGTACATCAGCATATTAAAGGCTCTGAGAAGTCCCACAACAAATAAATCTTTTTATTAACAATTCCCCAGTTTTTTTGGTCACAGAACTCTTTCTTCCCCTAACATCCTAGAGAAAACGAACTGCTTTGTCCAACATGCTTTGGGGGAGGTTCTAACCCCGAATCACCCAATACGGTAGCCACTAACCACATATGACCTTTTAAATTTGTATTAATCACAATTGAATAAAATCAAAGTCTAATTCCTCAGTTGCACTGACCACATTGTGTCAATAGCCACCTGTGGCTAGGTGGCTACCATAGCGTACAGCACAGAAGAGAACATTCAGTCGTCACAGAGTTCTACTGGACAGCACTGTCCTAAGCCAAGGGCTGAAAAACCGCAGGCTGCCCTCCGCTTGTTTGTGTAAATGGTTTTATTGGCACATAGCCATACTGTTTGCTTACATATCATCAATGGCTGCTTTTCACCCCATAACAGGAGAACTACCGTATGCCTCTGAAAGCCAAAAATATTATCTCTATCTTTGCAGAAAAAAATTTGCCAAGCCCTGCTCTACCAACATGTCTTATGAAGTTCCTGCCGTGTACTAGGTCCTATTCTAGGGGCTCGCAATATACCAGTGAACAGGTAGATGGGTTCTTGTATTCACAGATTACAAGAACCCACCTACCTTGTTCACTGATATATTACAACCCTTCACTTGCTAAGTTATTCTCTTGTAAACCTCCCTAATTTTGTAAAGCTGCATCAGGGTTGATATGCATCTTGGAAGATAATAGAACCCATTTGGTTTAGAGCAGTGGTCGGCAAACTGCGGCTCACGAGCCACATGCGGCTCTTTTGCCCCTTGAGTGTGGCTCTTCCATAAAATACTGACTTCTGCGCATGGGCCACGAAGTTTCAATCGCACTGTACGTGCGCGCCCACACGTGGTATTTTGTGGTATGTTGTGGAAGAGCCACACTCAAGGGGCCAAAGAGCGGCATATGGCTCGTGAGCCGCAGTTTGCCGACCATGGGTTTAGAGTGTTTTAAATTTAAAATAAGCACCTTATAGGAAGGAATTACTCCAAAAAATAAGAGTATGTGTTCCCATTCTGGCAAAACAAAGAAAACACTACATTCAGAGGTTGTACAGCTCCTTATTTGCACTCAAACTACTCACTGTTCCTGTATGACTTCCTCAGTCGGTCAGCAAATAAACAGCTTTTATGTTTTCAGAACCACTATTTTAAAAAAAACTTACCCACAATGACATCATTCTAATCCAGATCTTCAACTTTTTTAAACAATAGGATATATAAAATCAATGAATACAGAAAAATTTAGTCAGCATTTTCGTTGGCCACAGAACACCAATGTGTACCTAAGTGTCCCAGAACTGAATAATATTAGGATTTATGGAAAGAAGCAAAAAACAAAAACACAAAACCTCATCTGGTCTGAAAGCAGGAAGTGACTCATATCTGGACAGGAAAATGTGAAAAGCAGATGAACATTATTATTCAGCTGTTTTCAAATAAAAAAAGCACTTGAATTCCAGGACTGAAATGTTTGTGAAGACTCTTCAAAACCATCAGACCAACTGACATGGTGCTTTGTTTTAGCTCTGTAAGTCAGTGCCACCAACCCTACATATAGGGATGCTGGAGCAGCTTTTGCCACCGGGAAAGCTCTGGACCAAATAAATGGCTTAAAAGTTCTGCCACTTTACTCACAGTGAAATTCTCTTCATACTGCCCTCTCAGGAAACAACACCTGCCATTACACAAGGCTCTAAAAACGGGAGAAGGGGAGCCTGCAGGAATGGAAGGCAGGAGGGCACCTGTGGGATGACGTTCTGTAGCAGACATCGCTGACAATGGCTATGTGGAAGGCAGCGTTATGGGATGCTTAATTAGGATTCAAAGATGTTGAAGTACACTTTCAGTTTTGGAGCTATATTAAAGACCACATTTACAAAAACAAAGCCATGAAAAAATGCTTATAATACAACTAAAAAATATAAATTATATGTAAAACATGATTATAGTTGTTTAAAGTATAAAAGTAAAACAGACTAAAAATAAATTATCAAAAGTAATAGCAATGATAACAGGAATAATTATACTAACTGGTGGTAAAATTACGAGTAGCCTTTCTTCAACATTTCTGTAATGTGGTTTCATAATTTTAAAGTACATCTATATGCATATAAATATCTATTTACAATCCACTTAAAGTCTACTGGTAGATGAAGTGACCCCCTCTCCTCCTTTGTCTCTCACCTTCCTGGTCAGTTCTGCAGACTGAGTCATCTAACAGTCACAGAAGTCCCACTACTTTCTGAAGAGTACAAGCAAACGTGTAAATTTTAGGGGCTAGATATCAATCCATCACCTGAAGGGACAGAAAGTGAAAGGTGACTGTGAAGACGGGATTTGCATCAACTGGAAAGACTCGAAGACATACAGGGCGCACTTCTATTTGGTCGGAGATGAGCCAGTCATGGCCAGGAACAGTGTTCTAAAGGCAAACTAGGAAGGATAGGAGCATCCATCTGGGGAAACGCTTGGGGACAGGAGAAAAGGGGCTGGGATCCAGACTGTGTATAGGTATGTCTATGTCGGACAGATGGAAAAGGGACAAAGGGATATGAGGCTAGACCATGTTGAGATGAGAAAGAAAAGGACAATGTGCTTTTTCCTTTTAAAATTTTGTTTGTTCAAACTTTTCTTCTTCTATTCATTCAAGATGCACACTAGAAACTCTCAAATCTTACAAATTAGATCACATAACTACTAATAAAATGTTTTAGTAAAATGCATTAAACTACTTTTAGAATTGAATCAATATCTAATTTTAATTCCTTAAAAAATTTTTAAGTTGATTTGAGAGAGAGAGAGAGAGAGAGAGAGAGAGAGACACATCAATTTGTTGTTCCACCTATTTATGCATTCATTGGTTGTTTCTTCTATGTGCCCTGATGGAGGACTGAACCCGAAACTTTCTCATATAGGGACAACGACACTAATCAACAACTAAGCTACCTGGCCAGGGCTCAATACCTAATTTTAAAAACCAATACACTAGCCCTGGCCGGTATTGCTCAGCTGGTTGAGCACCATCCCATGCACTGAAAGGTCACTGGCTAGATTCCTGGTCAGGGCAGGTTTTGGATTTGGTACCGGGTCCCGGTACGTAATGGGAGGCAACTGATCAATGTTTCTCTCTGACAATGATGTTTCTCTCTCTCTCCCTTCCTCCCTCTCTAAAATCAATTAAACCCAGCTGGTGTGGCTCAGTGGTTGAGTGTCAACCTATGAACCAGTAGGTCATGGTTCAATTCCGGGTCAGGCCACATGCCTGGGTTGTGGGCTTGATCCCCAGTGTGGGGCGTGCAGGAGGCAGCCGATGAATGATTCTCTCTCATCATTGATGTTTCTATCTCTCTGTCCATCTCCTTTCCTCTCTGAAATCAATAAAAATATACTAGTATTTTAAAAAATAAATTAAATAAATTAAAAAATAAAAACCAATACACTAATGTAACTGAAACAAGAGGGAGGGAATTTTGTGTAGAAAATACAAATGTGTGTAATAAAAGCCCAGGCAAGCAGCTGAAAGGCCTGAAGCAGGAGCAGTGACTGGGGCTGGCAGAGTCACAGATGATTTAGGACAATGACTGACAGAGAGGCCACACAGCCAGCAGGTCCTAGGACCAGTAACACATTCTCTTCATTTCAGCTCATGGAGCGCCTGGATAAAACTGCCACAGCCTCGGGACCACATTCCCTTACAAGCATCTTCAAATGATTTGTAAGAGCCAACTGTTACATCAGTATTGATGACACCTATAGGTAATGGCTTTAATACGTTCCAAGAATAAGCCACTCTTTTGAAATGTCTTCCCTTTCTAATGTCTTCTGGAAAAAACTGGGTGGTTGGTAGTTTTCTGCCAAATATGTCTTTTATTTGATTTCCAGGTATCTTTATCAGTTTAATTCTATATGCCTAGTAACAAGAAACCACTTCAAAAATTACCAAAACTACACTAAAATAAATCATAGTAACAAGGATAATATTTATGACTGAGAGAAAAGATGAAAAAATAATAATTTTGTAGCACAAACAACTCCTTCTCCTAAGATCTATGTAAGCGAACTCGTCTTCATACTTGAAATAAAGACACTAAATCAGAGTAACATTTAAGATGCTTCCTGCTTTAAAATTTTATTACTGAAATGTAGTTTTCATTTAAAAATTGAAAAACTGTATTCTTAAAAGTCTAGCTTTTAAGAATGTTCCTAAAATATCAACTTGTTTTCTCACTTTCATTTACTTGCCTGTGTTAATGGGGATACATTTTAAAAGCATTGCTTCTTTCAGCTGTTGTTAAAATGTGAACATTCACTACTACACTGATTAAGCTGATCCTTTTTTTCTACATCTTTTTAGGACACATATCATGCTATATTTAAGGACTCTATCATAAATTGAGATAGAAACAAAAGTAGCACATAATTGAGAAAACACAAAGCTGATAAAAGATATTTCTAAAGTAGCAAAAACAGGAAATGAACACACATTTTCCATTTGAGTGGTTAGTGATAAGACACTTGCATTGTGGAGTCTGTGTAATTTCACTTATTTATGTTTCAGGGCAAACACTTTCTTCAGCATTACTATATATTCAGCACAATACCAGCCATAGTGATAGAAAAATTACAGAGTTCAAACTGGTAATACTTGAGCTACACCTCAAAGGGAAGAGCCCATCTGGGCAGAGCAACACAGTGGCCAGGCCGAGGTATGACAATGCGCTGTGTTTTAGTAAGTTTAGCCACCGTGGGAGCCAGGACACAGAGAGGGGTGACAGGAGACCAGAGCAGAGAGGGGAGGACAGTCACAAGGAGGCAAGGGCACAGACAGGGCCAGCCCACCAACCCCACAAAGGGCACATAAAGAAACTCAGGCCTCTCTGCAGGTTAAGGTAAACCCACGGGCTCTGCAGTGAGACAGGCTCAGTCTGAAATAGGACACTTTCCAGCTCAGTGACCTTGGGCAGTTCTTTCATCGTGAACAAAAGGAATGACGGTTCCCACTACATGGGTCTGTGGTATCAAGTAGGTGAACACACGCAAGCTGCAGGTTGGTTAGTGTTGTAGGACATTAGCTGCTGCCAACAGTGCTGTTGCCAGGCTTCCCTAAGCAGGGGACCATGATCCAACATGCTGGACAGGTCCCTGCTCAGAAAATGGGCTGGAGAGATGAACCCACAGGCAGCAGAGAAGACAGAGGCCTGATCCAGGATGGTGGCCCAGTGATGGTAAGAAGAAACAACAACAGCCTTACAGGGATAGACATGCCAGGACTGCGAGGTCTGAGACCCCTTAAGGGGGACAGAGAACTGTCATGGACTTCTAGGTTTTGTCCCA